TGGATATACAACTGATTACATCATTGGGTTCAACAAGTAGTCATCAATGGCTCAATATCTAGTTGGGGTGAGATATCAAGTAGGGTTCCCCAAGGAACTGTCCTGGGTCTTGCATTGTTTTGTGCATTCATGGAAGTGAATCATCATGGTGCTCCATGAGCAGTAGTATCCCCCAAAGCTCCATCCTTGGACCCGTACTCTTCAACATCTTTATTAACAATGTGGACACTGGTGTCAGAAGCAGACCGGCTAAGTTGGCTAATGACACCAAACTTTGGGGTAGAGCGTCCACACCCAAGGATAAGCTGGTGATCCAAGCTGACCTTGATAGGCTTAGATAGTGGGCAGATAAAAACCTGATGACATTCAATATGGATAAATGCAAGGTACTCCACCTTGGGGGAAAAAACCCTGCATCATGCTTATAGGCTCGCTATGCTCACTAGCACCATGGCCAAAAGGGACTTGGGGGTCATGACTGACCATGAGATGTACGTAAGCCGCCAACGCAATGTCACAGCTAGTAAAGCGAACAAAACACTGGCTTGCATCCATAGATGTTTCTAAAGCTAATTTCAGGATGTCATCCTCCTGCTGTACTCAGTACTGAGGCCGCAGCTGGAGTACTGCATCCAATGCTGGGCTCCACAATTTAAAAAGGATGTGGAAAAGCTTGAGAGAGTCCAGAGGAGACCCACATGCATGATCAGAGGGCAGGAGAACAGGCCTTATGAAGAGAGGCTGAGAGCCATGGGACTCTTCAGCCTGGAAAAGTGCAGGCTCAGGGGTGACCTGGTGGCAGCCTATAAGTATATAAGGGGTGTACATCAAGATGTAGGGGAACGCCTGTTCACCAGAGCACCCCAAGGGATGACAAGGTCATAAACTCCTCCAACACCATTTTAGGTTGGACATAAGGAAAAACTTTACTGTCTGAGCCCCCAAGGCCTGGAATAGACTCCCTCTAAAAGTGGGTCAAGCACCTACTCTGGACACTTTGGATGCTTATCTTGCTGGGATCCTTTGACTCTAGCTGACTTCCTGCCCCTGGAGCAGGGGGCTGGACTCAATGATCTTCTGAGGTCCCTTCCAGCCCTAATGTTTATGAAATCTATGAAATCTTTATTAATGATTTGAAGAATGGGGTGGAGTGCACACTTAGTGAATTTACAAATAACACAAAGATGGATGGAGTTGCAGACACTGGCATATAGGATCAGGAGTCAGAATGACCTGAATAAACTGGAGAAATGGTCTGACATCAAATAAACTGAAATTCAATAAGGATAACTGCATTTAGGATGGAGTAAAAGCATGCACGCATACAAACTGGGTAAATGACTGGCTAGGATGCAACTCTGCAGAAAAGGACCTGGTGGTTACTAGGGACCATAAGCTGAATATGGCTCAACAGCATAATCTTGTTGCAAAAAAAAAAAAGACAATAACATCCTGGACTGTATTAACAGGAGTGCCACTTGAAAATCAAGGGAAAAGATCCTTCCACTCTATTTGGCCCTGGTGATGCTTTACCTGGAGTACTATGTCCAGTTTTGTACCCTGCACTTCAAGAAAGAGGAGAAAAGATTGGGAAGGGTCCAGCAGAAATCAACAAAAATGATTCACTGAATCACACAAAAAAAAAGGCTGGAAGGGACCTCACGAGGTCATCTAGTCCAACCCCCTGCCTAAGGCAGAATCCCTATCAAATCATCTTAGACAAGTGTTTCTGTAAGCTATTCTTAAAAACTTCACAAACAACTTTCTGGCACAACTACTAGGCCCAGCAAGAGAGTTAAGGAAGAGGCCAATACCCAGGTGTGTGGGCATACTATAGAGGAAGGCAAAAACTCTCCAAATCAGTGCCAATCTAACACTGAGGTAAAATTCCCTCCTGATCTCAAATGTGATGATAGGTCTGTGTGGAGGAGCAAGGTGCTTAAATTCAAGAACCTCCAGGTTTTAAGTCCCAGCAGAAACATTACCATATCCAAGTCAAAATCCCCAGAACTGGCTGCAGCCAACACTAAATGCTTCTCAGGGAGGCAAAAAAACTTGATACATGTAGTAAAAAGATGGAAAAAATTCCTTATGGCCCCATGTGAAGACCAGCAAAGCCCAGAAGCATAAGATAAACAAAAGCATATAATAATCAATTAAGTGATTAGAAGTCTGGGAGACATGACTTAACTGTGAAAAGGCTGAAAGGACTACAATTATTTGGTCTGGAGGAGAGAAGACTAACTTGACAACAGGATTTGATAACAGTCTTCAAATATTTGATTATAGAGAGGATGGAGATAGATAATTCTCTGTGCCTGTAGGCAACAGGATTAGAAGCAATGGTCTCAAACCACAACAAGGAAAAATTTAGGTTGGACATTAGGAAGTGGTTAGAGGGGTGGGCAAGGAAAATGATTTGAGAGAGAGAATTCTGAACACATTTAAATGGGCGATGTGTGTAGACCACAGAGGAGCAGGTTACAGTATTTAAGGTAAGATATGAGGAAAGAACAAATGAGTTTTTGCAAGCCAAATAGTCAGAATTAAAACGGCAAGATCCTTGAAAAGTTGTATAGAAGGGGTATCAAACTTGTCTGGTCCTGCAGGCCAGATTAGTGGTACAGGACCAGTCTACAGGCTGAATGAATGGCATGGGGCCAGTCTGGCAGGCCAGATCAGGCCCGTATCCCCTTTCTTCCCCATGTCAGAGCCAGTGCATGTGGCACCCACTCCAGGACCCAATGGGAAGAGGCCCAGCATTCTGACTGCTGCCATAGGAATAAGCCACTGCGTTGGGCTTCTTTTCTACAGTGCTACTAGGGCTCCAGTGCCACTGCTCTCACCTGGGTGCTTGGCAGCCTTGCCAGTAGAAGATATTGCTAAACCCCGTGGTGGCAGCCAAGCCCCAGGCAAGAGCTACATCACTGGAACCAGCAACACCAGAGTTTCTACCCACAGCGGCAAACACGTGCCTGGGTGAGAACTGTAGCTCTGGAACCCCAGCAGCACCACAGGAAAAAGCCTGATACTGCAGCCAGTTGGCTGCTGCTGGCTGCTGCTGTCACAGTGCCAGACTTCATCCTGCAGGGCTGATGTGGCTCCAGCAACGTGACTCTCAACCAACAACTTGGCTACAGCTGCAGAAACAAGCCATGGTGCTGCTGGGGCTCCAGCACTGTGGATCTTGCTCAGGGCTGCCACTGCAGGAAAGTCCCCCATTGCAGCCAGAGTTGAGGAAAAAGTCTGTGGGCTGGATGACCCGGCTCCAAGGGCCAGATCTGGCCCGCAGACTGTATATGTTTAATGCCCCCGCTGTAGAGGAAAAACATAGAAACATTTTGACACCATCTGTATATTTGGAGGAGAGTGGGGATTATTACAGAGGAAGCTGGTAAGAATCACTGTATTTAGATTATTTAACAAATCCTATGAAAGGATCATTTTCTTTGGGAAGCTTTCAGCAGACCTTTGATATTCAATAAGGGGCATGCTCCTGAACTAAGAAAATGTCTTTCCTTTGTCCCACAAAATTTTATTCAATTTTTATGTAATACAGATGGTTAAAAATAGCTATAGCTCTTCTCTTATTGTTGTTCCTGAGAATATTTTATGTGTCAAAATAATAATGGAATACAAAAGCGCACACACATGCTGGGCTTATATCCTTCACTGCAGCAGCCATAGGCAGCGATGACATTTACAGGGAACATTTAGGAGCTGTCAGAGCAGGGCTAGGAATGTGGGTATGAAGATGACAGAGCTTGGCGTCCCTCCCAAAGCCAAAAGCCTTTTTGAGGGCACCCTTTTTGGGCTGGAGCTCCCAAAATTCCATAGTAAAGGGACAGTAAGAGAGAATCAGCTGGACCAGGTTCAATTCTGTCTGCAGTTTCTCCAATTTTTCCCCCACCTCCATCTGGGTTAACAGCTGTCTAGTACTGGCAACTAATGTACCTAGTTCTATAGCTCAAGTGGTAGCAGTCTGGGCTATTCTTGATGTTTTTTGAGGGAGGCCTTTTTTGTGAAAGGGTGGGGGGAGGGATTGCTATAGAATTAACTGTTTGTCCGCTCCCCCCAGTCTCCAACCCATTTAAAAACCCTTAGGATATATGTAACCTTATTTTAAAAGAACTTCAAGCACTAAGAAGTTGGGAAATTAAAGATTTACATAGCTGTCCTTGCAACCTTAATGCTGCTGCATTATAGTGCAGTCTACTCATATGACTACTTGCCATTTTCCACAAGATCCTTGCCTCGTTTAATCTACAGGGTAGATGTACAAATGGGGGAAAAATTAAGATTATATGCACAACTATGCATTTGTTCTTTCCCAATTTTAAGTGTATGATTTTGTAAACTAAATATTCTTCAATGTAATGCAACTTTTATACATATAATGTATAATGCAGAAATGGGAAGAAAGATGTACTGCATTCTAAAGCTTGTTTTAGTCTATTCCAACCATGCAGTTGGTCCAATAAAAGATATCACACACAAAAATCCTTGCCTCTTGTGTATTTCCTGGACCATCACAGCTATAACATCACTCCAAAACTACCAAGTATTATTAATGTTGCTTAACAACTACTGAAATAACAGTACAACGGAACCAAGGCTATTTCTTCTGAGTGACTTATTCAGGTCCATTCCAATGCATTAATGGAATCGACCAAAGGACATGTAGAAGCAAAAATAAATTTAAGAAACAGATGGACCTTCACCAATAGTCTCAATAAAGCCTGAAAACTTGGATGGCAGAATCGTTTCATTTTAAATTAAATACTACTAATTTTAAAACATTACCATCTATGGGCATGCTGTAATTAATTTTTTCCACTTGTAGCATTTGTCTTATATAGAACTCCACAGGAATCAAGTCATAAAAACACCAGCTAAACCAAACACTAAATAAAGTAACTTAATGTTTAAAAATCAGTTAATATTGCAACACAGTATACATCATCAGTAAGAAACAAATTGTATTTTAGTAAAATTCTTACCTGTTATTGAGTGTTGTTGGCAGAGGATGCGCTACATTAGGTGGCACAGTTGCATGACTGAGAGGAGAGGGGTTCTGAGCAATTGTGGCAGGGGTCTGAATTACCCCATTTAAAGCCCCTACAATTCCATTGATTGCCAGCTGGTTACCTGGCAAAGCTCCAATTATTCCACCCACACCAGGCACTGCAGGAATGGTGGATGTTACAGTCTGCATACCACTAGCTAGTGCCCCCACCGTCACACCATTGACCTGTTGAACTCCTGTGACTCCTGAGGCTTGCTGAGCTGGACTTTGCCCAGCAGGTGGTGGAGTGGAAAGGGCTGATGAACTGCTGGTGCTTTGTCCGCTGGAGGTTATCTCCTAATGTAAAAACAAACAAAAAGCCCCTCAGTGGCATAGAATTTCAAAGACAAAAACAGCACCAGAATTCAGAGATAAAGTTAATTTATAACAAGTCAAGAAAACACAATTTTTTTTTTAATTACCTGATTTAATACAGGAAGGGAATTGTCAGGTAAAAAACTGTTTCCCAGATGAGGACTCTTACTGCTGTTCAAGGAATCAGTGCTAGGTGCTGAAGTGATCATTAAAAAAAATGTTGTTAATTTCCTACATCTTACATGTTAATACTTTAACATTTTCAGAATGATTTATTTCAAGAGAACATTGATGTAGAACACACACACACACACACACACACACACTACATAAAACTAAGAAAACCCCCAAAACTTTACATTAATCACAATTCCAAGTAAAATATTTATTAACTGACTAATGAAAAGGCAATTGATGTGTTCAAAGCATAAGAAAAAATGTAGCCTTTTCTGGCTTCTGCAAAATGTACAATGAATATACAAGTAAAGCTTTTCTCTACCCTGCTTGATAAATCCCCAAGTCCAATATAAACTTGCCATTTTTTTCTCCAACAAAAATATCTTCAATTGATTTTGATATATATGCATACTATATACTAAAGATAATTAAAACATGCAAAAATTATAATAGCTCTGTTCTTTTCATATACACATACTTATTTCCCATTCATGACCAACAGAAATAAAACAGATCTTTCAGAAAAATCACCAAGGGTTACCATATTTTCAGCAGCAAAAAAAGAGAACC